CAGTATCACATGCTACAGAGAAATCGTTTGTGAAAGGAAGAGTCAATGGATTCTGTAAACTTCATTGTTGTCTTGTTTTAAGAAATTGCCACAGCCACCCCAACCTTCAGCAGCCACCCAATCTTCAGCAACCACCACCCTGATTAGTCAGCAGCCATCAACAGTGAGGCAAGACCTTCCACCAGCAAAAAGATTACGACTTGCTGAAGTTTCAGATGATGGTTAGCGTTTTTTAGCAATAAAGTAACAAATTAAGATACATATATATATATATATATATATATATATATATGTAGGCATTATGCTATTATATACTTAATAGACTAAAGTATAGTATAAACATAACCTTTATATGCACTGGGAAATCAAGCAATTCCTGTGACTCGCTTTATTGCTGTATTTGCTTTACTGTGGTGGTCTGGAACTAAACCTGCAATATCTCCGAGGTATGCCTATATTAAGGATTTTCAAATTGCTCCAGGGAGTCCTCAGGGACTTCCTGGGCAGCTAGGTCAGAGCTGAGTGGGTGGAGTTCTGGCTCCTCTATCCCCAGTGTAATAGAGTGGCTTCCCTTCTTTCTGTTTTATGTCTTGAGCCTATAGTGCCTTGAATAGTGTCCTCCCAAAATTCATGTCCACCAGAACCTCAGAATGTGGACTTATTTGGAAATAGGGTCTTTACCGACGTAATTAAGATAAGGATCTAGATAAGATCATACCGGATCAGGGTGGGCCCTGAATCCAATGACAGTGTCCTTATAAGAGACAGAACAGGACACACAGACACACAAGAAAGAAGGCCATGAGAAAATGGAGTCCTGCTGCCACAAGCTAAGGAAGGCCAGGAGCCAGTAGGAGCTGGAAGAGGCAAGGAAAATCTCTCCCACTGAGCCTTTGGAGGGAAGATGGCCATGTTGACACATTGATTTTGAATCTGTGGTCTCTGGAAGGGAGAGAAAATAAATTACTGTTGTTTTAAGTCACCAAGTTTGTGGTAATTTGTTACAGCAGCCCTAGGAGACTAATACAAGGTGTCTGGGTAGGACTTTGTTTGAATAATGTGTTTTGCACCTAAAAGAAGTTTGACACCCTCAACCAGGTCACATCTAAATTTTCTCTTGGCTTTATGATTCTCTCACATCAACTTGGCAGCTTGACGGTTTCACATGTCAGCTGGCGATGACTTCAATCCCTGGCAGAAGTCACCAGGATCAGGGAGAGTGGGCTCCATTCTCTGCAGGAGAAATGTTCTTTCCACTGAAGTCTAGATCACTGAAACCTTAGGAAATGAAGATAGTTTGCAAGTTTGCCAAACAACATTCCAAATCCAAACCAAATTTGGTTCCTAGTATTTCCTGGAAGAAAGCAATATGCTTATTGGAGTACAGACGTTCACAAAATATTATTCAGTGAAGGGAACAGAGATTGAGACAATTTTCTTTTCTTGTAAGCCCTGCTCCAACTTGATACAGACTCTTTATTAAGGGTCTGCTTTTAATTTTGAACCAAAAAAAAAAACCAAACCCACTGCCATCGAGTGGATTCCGACTCATAGTGACCCTACAGGACAGAGTAGAACTGCCTCACAGGGTTTCCAAGGAGCGTCTGGTGGATTCCAACTGCCAATCTTTTGGTTAGCAGCCATAGCTCTTAACCACTACGCTACCAGAGTTTCCTGTAATTTTGAAGGGTTAGAAAATTCAAGAATGAGCCTAGGAGGTGTTCTTCTTGGCTTGAAGTAGTTGGTGCATTTCTCCTCAATTAGACAGTATAAGGGCAACACCACTGCTTTGTGCTTACTTGTCCCTAAGGGTTGGGTTCCAATGTGGATGCTTGGCTGGGAGATTTCTCCAGGAGGTGTATTTGGCAGTTCTGCAGCTGGACATTAGAGCTTTTCAAAGAAGAGGACAATGAGGCTTTAGAGTGCCATTGAATCAGAGAGGCAGGGCCACCATATTGTGAAGGAGATAGAGATATAACAAAAGCCTTTTGTGGCTGGAGGAGAATCTCCTGAGTAGGTGGATCTACTGAGGATTCTTTGGTTCTTGGGACTGGAGGTGGGGGGTTAGCTTAGGGAGGCTTCAAAATTCCTTTCCATGTTCATTCAGCAGTCCCATCTCTCCATCCAAACAAGGAGATTCCAGAGTTTAGGAAGGAAATGTGACAGATTTGTGGGAGGAAGGAAATGCTCTTGTAACATGTGATGAGAATGCCTGGCCAGAGAATGGCACACTCAGGCAGCAGGCAAGTCCACCTCTCCCTAAGGAGAGTCAGGCTCCCCTCTGATTTATAGGTGGCCAGAAGAAACCTTCCCCTAAGCAGCTACAGAGGAGGGGCCAAGAAAGCAAATATTTACCAAGGGTGACAAGGAATCAAAGGGATATCCATTAAAAATTGTAAAGGAGGCAGGGAAAAAGAGGCATGGCTAAAGGGAGATGGGGAGCTACATCCCTTCTGGGGAGTCATTTTTCCAGTTAGAAGGATGAGCTGAGATTTAGACCGGATGTCCCCTAGGACCAATAGTCTTGGAGAAGAGAAATTAGCTGTCAAATATGTCCAAGTGTGACATCAATGAGAAGCAAAACAAAACAAAGCAAAACCCAAAGGGTCATGGTGGACCATAAACTGAGCATCATAATCTCTGTGACTTAAAAGGTCAACCAGAGGCATCCTCCAGAAGAGTGCCAAATCTGGATACCTCCTCTTTCCATGTGTCTTGTGGCCTAGAGCCCAGGGAGGATGTGGCTGGAGTCTGGGCTGGCTCCCTGAAAAGCTTGCCCCCTGTGATTGAGGGGAGGAGTAACAGACTAAAGGATGAAGAAAGTCCAAACAGGTGGCAGATGAACATGGGCCACCACGTGCTGCGCCACAAAGGCATTGGGTCCCTCCCTCCCAGGGCTCCTGTTTGATGTCTAACCACGTTTCTTGTTTCTACCTCCCAGGACTTTAGATAAGGCCATGATGGGGGTGGGGGGCAGGCAGAACACATACGTTGTTGTATTGTTGTGTACTGTCGAGTTGGTTCCAACTCACAGTGACTCTATAGGACAGAGTAGAACTGCCCCCATAGGGTTTCCTGGGCTGAAATCTTTACGGGAGCAGATCGCCAGGTCTTTCCTTCCACAGAGCTGCTGATGGGTTCGAATTACCAACCTTTCGGTTAGCAGCCGAGCGCTTAACCATTGCCCACCAAGGCTCCTAGAGCACGTATAGTCAATTCATTCCCTAAACATAAGAAGAAAATGTAGCTTTTCTGCTTGAACAAATTAGTCCCCGCAAGTCACCTCATCTTTCTATTGGTCCCAGAAGTACTGGACATTATGCCTGAGGCTCTTTTCTATGCATGTGTGAAAGTGCCCAGGAAATGGGGGCCTTGGGAAAATGCTGAGTTTAAAAAGGATTTGGGGGCACCTGGAACAACCCACCTTAAAGCCCTTTTCGATGGTTTACTCAGTTTTTTCCAGGCCTTTGTTTAGTCACTATTTGTTTATCTTGGCATGGGCAGCAGCAGCAACATCTCTCATATTGCTGCATCCTCACCCCAAGCTCTCTGGAGCCAGGTCTATACCTGGCTAATAACTCTAATAACTTTAGTGCCCTTCGTGTCACCCAAATGTGACCCAAATTAGTATCTCTGATGAGAATGTGGCCACATATGTCATTTACTGGCCAGACTAAAAAGACAACACAGAAAAAACTCTAAAACAGTTACAAACAACCCTAATATGCCATCCAGATGGCCAGAGACAAGGAAATGATTTCTAAATGATCTTGATTTGCTCCTGTCTTGTTTCCTGCAGTAAAGACCAGGTGCTCCCATGACACAATGAACAGAGAGTGCTCTGGAGATGTCCACAGTGGCCAAGGTCTTCACTGAGACAGCACAAAGGGATTCACAGAAAGTAGGTTCCTGGGATAATGACCTAATGGCACATTGACCGTGACACTGAAGCCTGTTGGACTCGGAGGGAGTGAAGATGCAAGGTGGCTGCCACTTGACCACTCTCCATACTCAGTGCCACAATGGATCAGTTCAAGGAGGTCAGCTTGTTCTTGAAGCAGAATCTGCTACAAAGGTCCTCCCTTCATAAAATAGATGAGCTCTTGGAAACTGCAGTTTAATAAATTGTATCTTACATAGCATAGGTAGGCCTGTTAGGTACAAATATTTTATGGTGGCTCTTTTTGTGAAGTTGTTAATTTTTTGATAAGTAGGCCATCACACCTCCATTTTATTATTTGATTAACCAAGATTATATTGCCTTTTTAAAAGCACACATTGACTTTGCTTCATCTCAAGCTAAAGTGGAGCAGGGTGTTTGGGGGAAGGAGTGTTTGTTCTGGGTTTTGTTATCTATCACCTTGGCCTTTCATAGTTCCCTTTTTTCTCCTTTCCTCTTCTCCTTGCCTGGTTTCTGGGGGCCATAGAACAAGACCCACTGTAGAGGTGTGGATAGGGAATGGGCATTATGCATGGACATCCATGGACCACAGGCACAGTCTGTGTAGCTCTTGTGGGCCCCCTACAACATCACCTATGGACTGCACGCTCACGGGCAAGCTGAACTAAACCTGCTCAGTGACACAGGAGGGAAACAGGTCGAGGAGATGTTGGACCAGATGTGGCTGGAGATAGGATAAAAGACCTTAAGCTGAAAAATGTCTTCATCTGCATTGAGGACCCTGGGCTCCATTAAAAGCACTCAGGTTCAATTCTGTGTATGTGTGGACGCATGCATGAGTGTGCACATGCATGTGTGTGTATGTGTGCATGTGTGTGCACACAGTGGTGGTGGGGGGAAGTGCTCTTAGTTAACAGCCCTCCCCCCTTTGGAGAAAGTCTGAATTCAAAGTGATTTTTAACAGATCCTCTCATCTTGCCTGAAGCCCAGTGCAGTTATGACTAAATCAAAAAGAGGTATAAATAAAGAAGAAACAAGATATATGTACCAGCTGACGGTGGGATAAGGGAAGGGAAAAGAGAAAGGAAGTTATACTTACCCTACAACCACAATTATAAAATCTAGTAAATTCCATCCGTTGCGGAGGTAAGCGTTGGGGTGAAAGAGAAGTCCATAGGCTATTACTTTTAAAAATGCTTCCACAGTAAAAATTATGAGAAAGAGATATTCCACTCGTTCCTAGGAAACAAAAACAGAAGAGAGAGGAAGAAATCATTAGACTGGGGATTTGGAAAGTTCTGAACCAGCAGATCTCACAAGTAGATGGAAAATACTGCTCCTTCTGTGGTAGGATCTAGAGGGATATAGGTGGGACTCCCAAACCAAAGTAGCAACTCCACAACTTGTTGCACCATTAGAGCTCCAATCCCACTGGGGATTAAAGGATTTTTTAGTCTTCAAAACTCCCCTGTAAAAATGCAAATAGAGAAATTACACATTTTTTGAAACATCGTATTTAATCAGTTAACATTTTATTGTACCTTCCCAGAAGAGAATGTCCTGATCTAAAGGGAAGCAATTCCAGGACAGAGGAGAAGGATGCTGAGAGAGGTGGTGAGACAGAACCACAGGAAAACTACCACAATTTTGAGGTGATAATCCTAAAGGTGACAGTCATAGTCTTAGGGAGTGTACTAGCCAAGTTCTCCAAAATGACAGAGCTAAAACCCAGCTGCAAAGAAGTCAAGACATCGAAGACCTCTTCACAGCAGGCAAAACATAGAGGCGACTTGCTCACATTTACTGATCCGCAAATTTGAAATCTCTTTCTTGAGGAAATAAAATGTTCTGTTTGTCTAAGACAAACCAGGTCAGCGTAGAAAATCAACATTTGAAGGATGGAGCAGGGCATTTGGGTGCAGGCAGTGAATGAAAAAGTCTCAAGGGGCAGAAGGTAGTCTTTTTCCTGTCTCTGCCCCCTTTAAGAAGGGTTTTGCCTTTAAGAATGCAGCTCCCATCCTTGGGAGCCCACATTTAACAGGACAAACTCGTCTCAATTAGAGCGAGCAGAGTCTGTGTGCTGATTCACTTCCTTCCCTCACCACTAATCACTTTCTCCCGCAACTCTGTCCCATTGCAGAGCCTGAATGGCCCCACCAGGCAAGGCTGCCTGGATGCCTTCATGCTCCACTGCTCACCTCTGCAGGCACCTCAGCCCATCTCTCACTGGATCCACAAAGCACCAGTTCACATTGCATTTGGGCGCGGATCCACCAAGCAGGACATGCTGGTCCACAGCCTCCAGGGCTCTCAGCTCAGAACGTCCAGACTATTTCTCCATCCTCTGCAGGGCCAGGCAGGCAGAGCTCACTGAAGACCACCAGGTCTCACCCATGTTCCAGGGAGGGGCATCACTGGGAAGGCACGCCTTCTCCAGCCCAGCCTGCTGGTAGGGTGTTCCAAGAAGGCACTGGGAGCTGGATGGTGGCTCTGCAGGGACAGGCTAGGTTTTCCATGTCCTTGCTCCCATTCAATCTCTCCCGGGCCCCTAGGTGTTTAGTGAGTGCTGGCATCATTGTACCCAACTCTGGGTTAAGCGTGGTTTGAGGACAAAAAGTAAAAAAATGCAGAATTCTGGATCCCACTCAGACCTACTGAAGCAGACCTCCTGGGTATGGAGCCTGGAAATGGGCATTATAGACCACTTCCAGGTGTTTCTGAGGCACCCTAATGTTTAAGAACCACTGGCCCATGTGCTAGGTCCCTGGATGGTGAAAATGGTTTCTGCTTGACTATTAACTGAAAGGTTGGTCGTTTGAACCCACCCAGCAGCACTGCTAAAGAAAGACCTGGCAATCTGCTTCTCTAAAGATTACAGCCAAGAAAACCCTATGGAGCTCAGTTCTAGTCTGTAACAGATGGGGTCACCATGAGTTGGAATTGACTCAATGGTAATGGGTATTTATTTGGGGGCGGAGGGTTTGGTCCATATGGTGATGAAGGCACAAATCAGGCAGTAACAGTGGGAAGGGAAGGGAGAGGTCAGATTTAATCAACATCTCAGAGGCAAACTCACCCTCTACTTATTAATTACAGTATCATAATGTTGGTCTGGGGATGTGGCTGCCTTGGGGGTGACCCAGGAACATATCATGGCATGTGGGAGCCTCCAAACTTTTAAAATTAGGTGATACTAGGCTAAATTGTTCATCAGGGCTGTGTTGAAAGGAAAAACATGTCACAAAGGGCCCAATGCAACCTGAGGGAAGCTTATGGAAGGTGGAGGGGGAGGAGTTGTCAAATACCGGCTCAGCCCCAGTCTCCCTGCCACCCCCTCACCCCCATGATGGTTCAGAGCTTTCATTTTTAGCACCAGATGACAGGGCCACCTCCTCCTGTACCCCCAGCAACCTCCATGGAAATTAACTAAGTTGGGGCTGGGATCAGAAGGGCAGACAAGGGAAAGGAAACAAGAACCAGTAGGCTACCCGCTACGGGTCAAGTGCTTTCATGCATTGACCTGTGTGCTAGTTGCCTTTACCCTTTCTTTCATCCATTCGCTCATTCATTCATTTGTTCCTCATCAGGGTGGGACAGCCAGTCGAATTAAGAGAAAGCGACCCTGGAGCTCCCTTTTGGTTGTCTATACAATGAGCTTTTTTTGGAGAGGCTGCACCCAAGCTCAGAGTCCCTCTTCCCGCTGGCAGGGAGAATAGCAATATCCCAAATGCTCCAAGGTCCATACAAGTTGGGAAATTTTCGGGCATTCCCAGACAACTCCTGTAAATAGGTGGCATCCCCAATCCAGACTGCCGGGCACCAAGCAGTCTGTTTATTCCTTCATTGACAAGGCTGCTTTCCCTTGCTTGCCCTATAAAAAGAGATAACCACAGACGATTCCTCCCCTGGAACGCAGACCCATCCATACTGCAGGTCCAGCAGTGCCCTGGACCTGGTATACCTCTTTGTGAGATGGAGGGATGGGCAATCCCTTCTCTTGTTGACTTTTGGCCTTTGTAAGTTTTCCCAATGACTTCTGCTCACAAGGTGCCTGTGTTCCTTTAAAGCACAAATATTAATGATCTTCTTAATGAAGGATGTTTTTTATTACCAAATCTATTCAAATTTATGGTGATCCTCAAGATGATGAAGAGTGGAAGTGAAGTAGAGGAACTCTTTGTTCCTTTCCATTTCCTGGAATCTAACTGTGCCTTAGGTAGAACACAGACCTGGGATTGGCATCGTCACTTGCCATAGAATTTTGTAGGGACTTTGGAACTTTGGAAGTCATCTACCACTTTGGAAGTGGTGTTCACAAAAAAAATCAGTAGATTTTCTTAATCCATGCCATGTGACATTTGTCCTCAACCCTGGTATATAACACATGGAAACACAAAAGGACCTACTTGGCACAACAGTGAGTCATTCCGTCAAGAATTCATGAAACACCTACTGTAAACCCATACTATGTTGAGGGCTGGAGCTTTGAGAATAAGGGCTCAGAAACTGAACTCAAGGATCTCCTAGTACAATGGGGGTTAAATAGACAGGTTCTCTGCAGGCAAGGATAGTTTGTTGTAGAAGAATTTCTCAAAGATAAAGATATCTTAGTTGAATCTTGAAGGATGAAGAGCTGTCCAGGTAAAGAAGATGGGGTGGGGCTTGGGGGTCATGCACTCCAGGTAGAAGAACTAAGGAGAGGGAACGTGTGGAAATGCAAACATTTGATCTGGCTGGAGTGAAGCTGTGAGGAAATGGGGCTGGAGGTGTGGGCAGGAGCAAGATGACAAGAGGCCCTGTGGCTGTGCCTGTACACTTGGATTCTGCTCTTGGAGACTGGAGTACAGCATGGTGGGATGTGCGTTGCAGCCTGGCACTGGCCTAGAGAATGGCTGGTGGTGACGGAGGGTAGAGGGAGTGGGGGCAGTAACCCAGACATGAGATCATGGTGACCTGGGCTAAGGCAGAGATGGTGGAATTGGTAAGCAGTAGGTGGATTTGAGAGATACAAAGAATGCAATTTGGTTTTGGGTTGCAAGTAGGGGTTGGGGGAAGGGCCAGTGAAAGAAGTCCACTCCCCCCTCTCTGAGGTTTCTAATTTGGGTGACTAGGTGGATGATGATGCCTCTCACTGAATTAGTGGACTTCAGGAAGGGGAAGAGGGGGTTCAGAGGTAGATAGAGTCATCAGTTACGGACTTGCTGAATTTAAGGCAATTGTGGGACAACAATTTGGAGATATTCATGATTGGATGCATAGAGGTGGGTTTCAGAGGAGAGTTCAGCTTAAAGGGGAGGGTTGGATGAGGTTGCCCTGGCAGAGTATGTAGAATAAAGAAAGAAGAAGAGCTGAGGCTGGAATCCAGGGGACTCCCAACTCAGTATGGAACAACCTCTAGAAACCCCAGTCTGAATGTCTATCCCATCAGAAACCTCAGCCCCAAGAAGGCTTTTTCACATTATGGGAGTTAATCTCCAAGGCAAAAGTTACAGGATCCTGCTTAAAATAACGAAGTCTGAGAGACAGGTTATCTAACGAACTTCCTCACTTGAAAAATTAGGATACTGACAAGATAATGACACCAGAGAGGTAATTATCTAGGACTGGAAATCCAATTCCCTGCCCCTCAGTCCAAAGGTTCATTCATCTTATCTTGCCACCTGGGGTTCCAGGGAAACATTAATCACTGGTCCCTGCTTATCCCCAAAGACACTGGGATCAACTCCTCATGCTAGGTTGTTTAATGATCTAAAGTAGAGTTAAAAATGGCGCAGGGAGCCCATAAGAAGAGATTTGAACAAGAATCCAGTGATAAGGCAGCTACCTATTGTTGGAAAGTAGGGAACACAGTTATCTGTGCAGCGTGTGAGAGTGCTAACCTGAGGGGCATGAATGCCCTTACAGAATTAATTCCAAAAAAAGTTAAATTAGTGACGCAGCTTGGTTGATCCTTTCAAAACATGTGTTATGTTGCCGCAGAAACATCTAAAGGAGAGTATGAGTGGAGTGGAGAAGAGCACATGTTTGTCAACAACAATTCTCCTGCCTCCCTGATGCCCAGGTTGCTTCTAACCCTGTGAAGACACAATCCTGTATGGCTCTCCTCATACCTGAATTTGTGCGCATGAGGATTGAGGTGCCCTCCCAAGCCCTGAGAAGTCAGAGACCTCGCTGAAAAATACCAGGCCTTTCTGTGTTCTTGGGTACAGGGAAGCTTTGGAAGCCAATCTAGAATACAC